TGGACTGCTTAAATACCTTGCATACATCGGAGTTAACTATCAAATAGTACTGTGGTTTGTTTTGTTTTAAATCAAAGCTTTCATAAAAGCGTGTTGCCATTTAAACGAGAAGGCCGCACTTTCAAGCTCTTTGTGTCATACAGCAATCAAGTGAGAAGGGATTTTTGAACATGGGCATCTTAAAATACTATTGACTGGATCCCCATTTAGTCTGAATAGACCCACTGCGATCAATGGATTGGTCATTTCCAGCCTCATTGATTTCAGTGGATCTACTCTAAGCATGTCTAAGACAATACAATTGCAGCATGTGAAGTTTAAATGAGACCTATTCGCGTCTCAAATAATTTTGGATTTAGGTTGGTAATAAAACCGTGTTTGCTTGTTACTTTTATAAACCGCTCTTCATCCTGCAGGATCCCAGGGTGGTGAACAGACATAATAAGGCCGTAATACAATTAACTTAAATTAATTAATTTAGACACTATTAAAATCACATTAAACCATTACAATCACATTAAACCAGTAAAAACAGTTCAGCAGAGGAGTCTATGGCTGTATACACACCATAGATTCAAAACTTCCCCTAAAAGAATCCTGGGAACTCTTGTTTGTTAGGGTGCTGGGAATTATAGTTCTGTGTAAACTACGATTCCCAGGATCCTTGAGGGGAATTTGCTTGTACACAGCCCACATTTTAAAATTCTTACTGCTGGGTGATGAAGTGGCATATTTGTTATGATCTTCATTTTGTTTTATAACATTGATGAAAGCTCACTTAAGGTACACATGTGCACATTGCTTGATGACTGTCATGGATGTGTGAAACAGGAAAGAAAACTGATCTTAACGTGGATAAAAGCAAACAATCGGAGTTAGAATGACTTCAGGAACAGAGCATGTTTTGCAAGAAATGAAACGTTTCCCAATCGCTTGCTGTCCTTTCAAATGCCACACTTTTCAGTGGAGTCAGTTCGCACATTCAATTGCAAATCCTAAAGGACTTAGATGTCAAGCGATGCAATGTTAAACAACATGCATGAAAGAGGGTGAATGCCTCCTATAACACACACACACAAATATATATATATATATATATATATATATATATATATATATATGTAATGTATTGCACAAAATACTCGAGGAGCATTAGCTATCTGCCTAGTTAGTTGATTTATATAGGCGTGCTCCTTTTACAATATGGCTTGTATATCTTTATTGCTGGGTGCTGAGAGCATGAAGCGGGCCTCCCTTTATGGAGACATGAGCGGTTGCAAGAAATATAAATCTCCCCTGCTTTCTTCCCAGTCAGATTTTGTAATAATAGATCAACCCGCTGCATCGTGGGAGTCCTCTCTTAATGGACTTAGTTGAAGGATGTCCAACTGAGGGCGCATTGCCAAAGGTCTCTGTCCGGCCCTCCAGTTGCCAGACCGAGAGTGTAAAGTGTGAAAAGGGAGAGAAAAGAACATCTTTCAAACAGAACGATATAAATGTAGGGAAAGTCTCCAGCTTATTTTTTTATTTGTTAAGTTTATATAGTGGAACCTCGGTTTTCGAGTTTCTCAGAAGCCAAATGATTCGGAACCCAAACGCCGAAAACCTGGAAGTGAATGCTTCAGTTTTCGAACGCGCCTTGGAAGTTGAATGGCTTCTGAGGCGCATTTCTCCATTTTCTCAATAATAATTATTATTATAATAAATTTTATTTATACCCCGCCCTCCCCGGCCAGAGCCGGGCTCAGGGCGGCTAACTCCAGTAAAATTACAATAAAAACATAATGGGGGGAAAAACCAATTTAAAATGCAGGTTAAAATGCAATTTAAAATGCAGCCTCATTTTAAAAGTAGCCCATGGTTCAAAACCGTAAGGGGAGGGAAAACATAAGGGTCAGACTGAGTCCAAACCAAAGGCCAGGCGGAACAGCTCTGTCTTGCAGGCCCTGTGGAAAGATGTCAAGTCCTGCAGGGCCCTGATCTCTTGTGACAGAGCGTTCCACCAAGTCGGGGCCAGTACTGAAAAGGTCCTGGCCCTAGTTGAGACCATTCTAACTACCTTGCGGCTCGGGACCTCTCAAATGTTGTCATTTGTGGACCTTAAGGTCCTCCGCGGGACATACCAGGAGAGGCGGTCCCGTAGGTACGTGGGTCCTAGGCCGCATAGGGCTTTAAAGGTCAAAACCAGCACCGTAAACCTGACCCTGTACTCCACTGGGAGCCAGTGCAGTTGGTAAAGCACTGGATGAATGTGATCCCGGGGCAAGGACCCCGTAAGGAGCCTTGCCACGGCATTCTGCACCCGCTGGAGTTTCTGGGTCAGCTTCAAGGGCAGCGTAGAGCGAGTTACAATAATCAAGCCTGGAGGTGACCGTTGCATGGATCACTGCGGCCAGATCAGGGCGAGAAAGGTAAGGGACCAATTGCATTTGCTGACTGCCCATTGCGCCTCAGTTGTCGAATGTTTCGGAAGTCGAACGGTCTTCCAGCACGGATTACGTTTGACAGCTGAGGTACCACTGTACCACACTTTTGACTTCCATGGATCTCAAGATGGTGTAGGTCAGGCATGGGCAAACTCGGCCCTCCAGATGTGTTGGGACTACAATTCCCATCATCCCTGACCACTGGTCCTGTTAGCTAGGGATGGTGGGAGTTGTAGTCCCAAAACATCTGGAGGGCTGAGTTTGCCCATGCCTGGTGTAGGTGCTTCTCCTCCTCCCCATTGCATCTTCACAACAGCCCTGTGACGTAGGTTAGGCAGAGACGGTGACTGATTCCAAGGTCGCCCGGTGAGCTTCATGGAATTGGAACCGGGGCACGCTGGGGCCCACCCCACATTATGGGGGCTTGGCGCGTGCATGTAGTGGATTTTTCTTTAATGATCTTATTGTATTAAATAATGATGGTGACAATAAGGAAGATTGCAATTAAAATAAAGGAGGAGCGCCAACAGACTCTGTTTTATGTGTGACTAATGCACAATTACTTCCTAGTGTTCAGTGTCCTTGGCATCCTGTCAGGGAACCATACTAGTTTGGCATGTTTCTATGCACATGTTGACGAAACCCAGATTTTGATGTGACTGTTTCCCCTTAAAAGATCATCAGATAGAGTCAAAACGCTTGTATCTTGTGACCGTCCTTCTTTATCTGCTCTTTTTCATTTTTAATTCTCTCATTTTTATTTTTGCATTTGGTGTTTACTGCAGTCGTAGCATCTATTGAGTTGTCCTCCTGCTGTCACTGACGGCATCACTGTAATTAGCCCTGCCATTCTTCCTGATTTTTCTACATTTGAAAGGAAAGCAAAGATAAGGGGAGCAGGGATGCTTTTGTGATTTCAGCCCAGAAAACACGAATAATCAGCATGTAAATGAATGTGTTTTTCTCAGTTATCGCAGTTATGAGTACCCATGTGTTAACAAATGGGAAAATAACACAGTCATTGCAGCCAGTCTATAATAATCCTGGTATGATGAATTCCAGTAGTAAACCTGCCAAGATGCGTAGATTCTCAGCATGACGATCACACAGTTTTCGTTGGTCACAAATGGAGGGCAGTGCGCGATTCTGCTTAATGACGGTTCTGTAAACAGCAATATATTTGGAGACCAGCGGTTCAACCAAATTGGCAGGTGTTTCACAGAAATCTGGGGAAATATAATGCTTGGAACCGGTCCTTAGACTGTTTTTATTTACTTATTTATTGAAAAACATTGCATCCTGCCTCTGCTGTCGTTTCAGGTAGCTTACAAAAATAGTAAAATAGTGGACCACAACTCTACCAATCAGCAAATAACCAACATAGAACATTAAAAATAACAAGTGACACCTGCAGCAAAATGTTGCACAATTTGTTACCTCCTAAGAGGAATATGCCTGTCCAGGGATCTAATTAGGACTCGGCTACATTAGTAAAGAAACAACTATTTGGATGCGCTATAAACATGCAATGCCAGATGGCGCCAGAGAGCAGGAAATATTTAAATACGATTTTCCATAGGGCTTTTAATTTTGTTGTTGTTGTAACGATCTAATTTCTGACTTATTTATAGCGTTTTTTCCCTGTGGGTAGACCCACCTCTAGAAGCAAACCATCCCATCACCCTCTTCGCTTTGCTTTTCTTTTTCTAGCTGATATTCAATGGCTTCTGAATGTGCTCATTCCTTACTGGCTTGTTCAAAGTGTGCTGCCAAGGGAACATGTCACATTGGGATAGGCAATCTTCAGGTTCTAATCTCTTTTCCTTCTCCAAGTCTGTTTCAGTGTCAGCTCTCTGACTGTTTTTGGTTTGTTTTTTTTAGGGCCAGGATGTACAGTGGTACCTCGGTTTACATACGCTTCAGGTTACAGACTCCGGTAACCCAGAAATAGTGCTTCAGGTTAAGAACTTTGCTTCAGGATGAGAACAGAAATCGTGCTCCGGCAGCACGGCGGCAGCGGGAGGGCCCCATTAGCTAAAGTGGTGCTTCAGGTTAAGAACAGTTTCAGGTTAAGTACGGACCTCCGGAACGAATTAAGTACTTAACCCGAGGTACCACTGTATACCATTTGTAAAAGGAAAAGTGCTCCTTGTATGATCTATACACTCATTTCTACATGCTGTAAGGATGGAGTAATTGCTTATAAATTTACACCATGTGGTGGTTTGTTTCACACTAGGCTAAATTCATAAATTCCTAAGGACACTTTATTGGAAAACGGTCCCAGTGAACTCAGTTCTATGTGTGTGGGGAGTACACAAAGTCAAATGTTAGTCTCCCTGTGGCGTTTGTACAGAGCCCCCGGTCGTCTCATGGACTATTGACCCGTACACCACTAATCCGCTGCCACCAACCAGGTCCTCCCCGGTAAATCACTTAGTCTCAGTCAGGTTCTTACATTAACAAAGTACAGTGGTACTTCTGGTTACGTACTTAATTTGTTCCGGAGGTCCGTTCTTAACCTGAAACTGCTCTTAACCTGAAGCACCACTTTAGCTAATGGGGCCTCCCGCTGCCGCCGTGCCGCTGGAACACAATTGCTGTTCTCACCCTGAAGCAAAGTTCTTAACCCGAGGTACTATTTCTGGGTTAGCGGACTCTGTAACCTGAAGCGTATGTAACCTGATGTATATGTAACCCGAGGTACCACTGTAGAGTGTCGTTTATTTCAGATACAAACAAACTTTAACTGCATTCCATCCGTTGTTACTCTTTACCTTCCTAGTCTTATTTAATCCTATCTCTATCTCTTTTACCTCCCCTGACACAATAACCAACTGCACTAACTGTCTCTCTGTTACCAACTGCCTGCCAACTGCTTTTCCAACTGCCTTTCCCAACCAGCCAACCAACCCACCCACTAAAACCAACCAACCAAATAACGCAAGCCTTGGGCAAACCCTTTTATAAACAGGTAGGCTCCGCCTCCGGCTTTCCTATTGGTTGACATTTTAACCCTTTCTCTCCCCCCGTACAGCCATTTTCTAAACGAACGGGCAAACGCCACACTCCCATTCCACCCCAATGATTGTTGAATCTATACCCAGGGAGTGCTGAGATTTTTGTTGATCGGATGTTTGCAGGCAACACCCTACTTGTGTTGGGTGGACCGCTACAGTAGTTGCCTTTCTGCTTTTACACACTAGCAAAATTCCTTACTCTAACTTGATGCCTAAGTCTTGCACTTTCATGTTTAGCAAAGCCCTTGAGATTCCTGTGCAAGACAAATTTGTCGGCTCTTAAACTGCATTAACTTTCAACTCTAGCATGCCCTGCTAAATCCCTTAAGCAACAATTATCATTATCAATATTTGATATGTAGCTTATAATTCCCATGCATATTTCAGAAAAGCATATTTTATATATTTGATGTTGAATCTGCCAAGTGAAGGTTCCTCACAGACAAAAAAAAGGAGGAAAAAATGGACAGTGGAGCACAGTTACTGGGACATTGTGGAGCAGAGGATGCAAAACAAGTTCTACATGGTGAAAGTAATTTTTTAACCGTGCCTCAGAAAGTGTTTGTTACTTGATTTGCTAAGAAGTGTAGTGGTCAAGTCTTACTGAACTTTAGAAACGGTTAGAGCATCACAACCATTCATTTGAAAATGGTAAAATTGGCATAGTATTTTTTAAATGCCTTTTAATCTTCAGGATATACTTTAAGTAGGGGCTACATTACGTCTGCCAGAAAGGAGATTGTGGAGTAGATGAATGCTCAGTTTGGAATTTTCATTGAAGGATTTTCATAGAAAGCAAGGGCACATACAATGTCTCTGTTCTCGGTTCATAGAGTCCTTTCTACAGGTCAGTTAGATTTGGTTCTGAAGTGCTGCTGTCATAGACCTTGTGAGGTGCGGGGGCGGGGGGCAGGGAGTCAACTGGGGAGAGGGGGTGGAAAGAAATGGGGTAATGATTTTCCATTCTTTTGCTTTGCATATGTGTTGGGTTTTTGTGTCAACATCACAAGGATAGGTTTTTTATTTGTCTGTTTTGGTGGTGCGACAGTTGAAAACAAGAATTCAAAAGCACACATGAAATAGGCCAGCAGCCCAATTCTAACATTTCCTGCCTAGGAATATCCTGAAAGTTGTGCATGTTCTGTGCTGCCAGACATGAGCCCCGTTCAGGTATTCAGACAAATTTCAGAATGGTTTAACAGTCATTCCCTGTTCAAAGGGAACTCTGGGAATTGTAGTTCTCTGAGGAAAACAGGGTCTCCTAACAGTTCTCAGTTCCCATGATTTTTTTGAGAGAGGCCATGACTGTTTGAAATGGTACAATAGCACTTTAAATTTATGGTGTAGATGAGGCCAAATAAGGACTGTGTGGAAATGATGCCTTCTTATATCCCCAGTCTCTTCACATGTTACTATTTTAGGTTTCCACTGAAGTTTATTAAAAGTGCACACTTAAAATTATAAAATGTAAATGTGACAAACCAATGTCTGAAAGCACATGTATGTTGTTGGGTGCAGTTGGCAAACCTAAATTGGTTGCTGGGCAATATGTGAAACGTCCCTAATTGATTTCTGAGGTGAGACCCAAGAGGCAAAGGTTTAAATAAAAGTAAGGATGTCAGAGCCAAACCATTAATAGCTTTGCAAGTGGGGGTTTAAAATTCCTTTGGCGCTCCCTTTGTTTAAGGTCATATGTTCACAAATGTCAGAAATAATCCTGCATTTTAACTCCACACTTCAGGCACTGTTTAAAGTTCACATTGAAATGGATCGCATGCCAGTTTAAACAAGAACTGAGTGACTTCTAAAACTGTAAGACAGGTCAATAAACAGGAAGGGCACCTAGGAGAGAAACTTGTTTAGTCTCCCTTTTTTCCAGGAAAGGTGGCTCTTCCTTATTAGGGTACGATCCGCTTAACGTTGGAATAGAAGAATATCTTGAGCAGGCAGGTTTTCATTCTTCCATAACACCTAGATGCATCTCTGCACGGGATTTCTCCATTTGCAGTAGTGTATGAAGAGTAGGCAAACGGGGCACAAAACAGGCAGGTGTGCAAAACCAGGTAATACGTTTGCAGTTATTGTAATAACAGCGAGTGTGTGCATATATGTGTTGGCCTTCCAAGGGACTGGGGTAAAGGTTGGGTCCAGCAGAATCAATCTGAGCTTTGATGAGCACGAAAGAGTGGAAGGAAGAAATGGGAAGACTGGCACTTAGAACTGGAGGAGGAAGTGAGAGTCCCACTCTTTCCCATTTCCCCCTTCAGTTCCGTTGTGTTTTTTAAGGGAGAAAAAGGTAATGAACCAGTGCCTTTTTTGCCTCCGAGGAGGCACTGAAGGGTACGCAGTACCGGCACCCCTTTTTGTTGTTGTTGTTAAAAAGTGTGGCACTTACTGCAACAACTTCATGGTGAGTACCAGAACCTATTTTTCTAGGAAAAAAAGCACTGGTAACCACCCTCACCAACTCATGAGCAAGGGGGTAGTGTGTGTTATGGGGGGGGGGGATAAGAGACTTAGTAGGCAATGGGAAAACCTCAAAGTTTCCATTGAGTTTACAGGCACCATGTTGGTGACCCTGCAGTAAAACATATTCTTTCATTACATAGAGGGGGGGGGGGTGCAAGAATTTCCCACGCCTTCCATTACTCCATTTGTTCTCAGTATCAAAACTGTTACTCGTTTCTTCGGTCATTTATTTCAATATTCATTTGTTGATGTTTGTTGCTGGTGGTGGAATACAGTTAATTTCCCTTGCAGCTTCAGGCAGCCGCCATTTTATTTTTCTCCTGTTATGTACTGAAGTTCTCACCCTGGGCCAGAAGGGGGATACTGTAGATACAGTTTTCACTCAGGTCCGCATATGCAAATAAGGAATTGAAAGTGACATTCAGTGATTGGATAGTTACAGAAAGTTGTTACTGTTGCCGTGTAGTAGAGCTCTATATAAGCAGGTTTGCTGAACCCTTCAGCCCTGTTCTGTTCTGGCCTGTGAATAAACAAGAGCTGTCTGAAGAATTGCTGTGTCATCTGATATGTTCACCCACAACTTAACACCTCCTATGCCCCAGACATTGCATCATTAGGGCATTCTGGGAAAATAAAATGGCAGCTGCCACCAGCAGCCACCCAAATCATCTGCCGCCGCCACCTCTGCAGAACGCTAAGGGCTCCTGCCCCAAAGAGTAGGAATGGGTACAAATTTGAGTGGCAAAAACCATCTGGTACTTAAACACATTAGTTTCAGAACAAATGAAAACTGAGCTGGGTGGGCCATATTCAGTTCAGTTTTTCATGTGATATGAATGCACACACCGAGCCACTATGGAGCTGGTGGCAGAGAAGAAATTATTATTATTATTATTATTATTATTATTATTATTATTGGCCAAACATTTGTGTGCCACTCAGTAACAAAGTTTCCAGGCAGAGTACAATAAATATGAAAGCAATTTAAACACAAAACAGAAAATATTAAATTGAAAGACACTTGATTCACATGAAAACAAGAAAGGAACCCTGCTGTACCAGACCAAAGGCCCACCTAGCCCAGAATCCTGTTATCACAGCAGCCTACCTTCAGTTGAAGCAGAACCAAGTTTATTTGCACACCAGTTTCTAAGCAGGACAGCCTGAGCAGTGCGCTTTTGGAGTTTCAGCAGCGTCGCTCTCTTAAGGCCCACAGCCATTATTAATTCATCTCAGTGCTTTAGCATTCTCCTTCCCGTTTTCACAGTTTCATGTTTCATGGATTGCTTACACACTTATGCTGCTGAGGCACTGCGTTTCTGCAATAAGCTAAAAGCAGAATTAAAACGGAGGTTCCTCCTGGTACTTGAGTGATATGAACATAACCTCCAAGTGTCCCTATTTTCCAGGGACAGTTCTGGAATTACAAAAGCCATCCTGTCTTCTGATGTAATTCCAGAATGTCCGGTGTGGTGTAGTGGTTAAGAGCAGAGGACTCGTAATCTGGTGAACAGGGTTCGCTTCTCCGCTCCTCCACATGCAGCTGCTGGGTGACCTTGGGCTAGGCACACTTCTCTGAAGTCTCTCAGCCTCACTCACCTCACAGAGTGTTTGCTGTGGGGGAGGAAGAGAAAGGAGACTTTGAGACTCCTTAGGGTAGTGATAAAGCGGGATATCAAATCCAAACTCCTCTTCTTCTTCTTCTTCTTCTTCTTCTTCTTCTTCTTCTTCTATTTCATCTGCCACTGCTGCCGCCACTGAGCTCAAGGAGGAGGATGAGCTGGTGCTTGTCCCGAGCGACAACAGCTGCAAGGGATTATCCCATGGCCTCTTCATGGCCACTCCTGCCGGCCTCCTCCTTTGGGCGGCTTGTAGTGGCTTCTGGAGAGGGGGCGAGGAGAAGGAGAGGCTGCAGCCGCGGTTGCCCAGCCCTGTGTGCCACACCAGGTCTTAGGGGCAGGCAGAGGGCAGGGCCTACCTAGGAAGGAAGGAAGGAAGGAAGGAAGGAAGGAAGGAAGGAAGGAAGGAAGGGGGAGCCGAGTGCAGTTCAAGGAGTCTTGTTTTTTTTAAAAAATAATAATAGTGCATTCGTGTTTAATCTTGTCCCTTTCTAAAATTTATTTACTGGTGTGTGTGTGTGTTTTGTAAATCTACCAAAGGATAAAATAAAATAGCATAAGGGGTTTTCTCAGGAAAGTGGGGGGCCTGTGTGCTGTGTCCCATTGGTGTACTGGTGGCGGCACTTTATTCTGATAAATGCCAGGGGGGAATGGACGGACAATAAATGGGGGGGGGGTTGAGGAGGGTCAGTTGAGGGGGGAGTGAGAAATACCCCCTTTTTCATCTGTGGAATGTTGGAGGGTATGTATTAACTTGCAATGCCACTCCTATTACCAAGTCATTTGCTCCCAAGTAAGTGCAATTCAGCAAAGGCTCTCTGCTTTATATAAGTGTGTATTCTTAGGACTGACCTTATTTTGTGATTGTAAGTTGCTTAAACTGTTTTTAATATTGTGTTTTTATGTTGTAACCTGGGGCCTTAGGGTGAAAGAAATGTGGTTATTATTATGAATAACAACATATATTATTATCTGTTGTTCATTGTTTACACAATCTCAGAGTAAGCAATAAGTTTCCTCCTTGTTGGCTCAGCTCATTTTATTGCTTTCTGATGAACTTGACAGAGGATTACTGATGAATTGCCCCCAGAATAGCTTATCTTAATTGTCTCAATATCAGTTTCTGTTCCCAGAGGGGGAGTCCTTAATTTTCTATTTCCTTGCATTGACACTTATTCAATTTTTTTAAAAAAGAAGAACACAATAATGAAAGGAAACCAGTGATTAAAGCTTTCCCCCACTATGGGAGCACAAACTGACTGGGTTAATTAATTAACTACACATAGAAGACCTGCAAATCAGATATTTTTTAAAAGAAAGGTTCAGGCGAGCTTTAAAAACCTCCGAAGTTCTTTGCCTGTCTGCAGTCTTGGACTGCAACTGCACTCTGTTGACAATGCATCTAGTCATTAAAAAAATTACAGGAGAACAATGCAGGAAACCCTGAACTGCAATAACCATCTCAATTCTCTCTCTCTCCTTCTCTCAACAAAAAAAACCCCAAAAACCAAAAAACACCCCTGAGTGAACAAACAATGAAATATCCAAATAAAAGGGATGAGTGGAAGCAACCTTGCTCCCTAAGGGTTCAAGGAGAGGGGCAAAGGAATATGTTGGCTTGTAGAGAGGATATTGTTGGTTGGTGTCAGATCCCTGCTATAATGAACAATGTTAGTTTGCACAAAGGAGGATGCTAACGTAATCCATGAGTTCTCCTTCAAATTACATCACATTTTACCTCATTCAAAGTTAAACAGTATGAAGGAACATTGTGAGGCAGAGGGTACGCACTGTCCTTCAGGATTCCCTGACCAGAAAAAAACAGCAGTAATTATAATGATAATAATTTATTACTTGTACCCCGCCTACCTGACAGGGTTGCCCCAGCAACTCTGGATGGCCTCCAACAGAATATTTAAAAAAACCCACAGTGAAACCTCAGACATTTAAAAACTTTAAAATACAGGGCTTCCTTCAGATGTCTATGGAAAGTCGTATAATTGTCTCTTGGAGATTTGACGGGTGAGCGTTCAACAGGGCAGGCACTACTACTGAGAAGACCTTCTGCCTGTAACTCCAGGTCTTTCAGTGAGGGAACTACAAGGCCCTTGCAACTGGTCTTCAGTATCTGGGGTGGAAACCTTCCTTCCACAAGCTAGATGCATGGGGTCTTACCCTAATTTGCAGGGCTGCCCATGGCTTTGCATGGGCGGGCATTCTAAGGAGGGCAATGGTTTTTGCAGCTAAAAACTAACATGGCTACCCCTCTAGAAACTGTCACAAAGGAGGTGGCACTTTATTTTGGAATATTCTCTCTCCCCCCACCCCCCGGCTCGCTGCAGTCAAGTGACAATTGTGGTAACCGCAGGCCCTTCTGCAGAATGGAAGCAATTCAGTCCTCTTGGGAAGGGCACCTTTTGTGAGAAAAATTCCTATTCATGAGTCACTGAAGTGAATGTGTAGAGTTTGGCTGGGTTGTAGATGATCATTAGCCACAGCTTCTCTAGTGCCGACCATTCAAAGCGTATGCCGTTAGTTATGTGGCATCTTTTTCGGGTTTTCATTCTGTTTCCTAGCTGCTGCCCCCTGTTACTGCCTGCATTTAGCAATACAAACACAATGAGGTCTCCTCTCACACGGTGGAGGGATCTGTGTAATTGGGCGGAAAACTCTGATAATGAGACTTCATTACAGTGAGGGAGATGTGGCGTGGTATATCCTGGATCAGCAAAATTTGTGTCAGGAACGTTTCAAGGACACCTTGTACTCGCATATAGGGCAGATAAGTTATACCACAACTTCTTTAAAAGACTTCAATTTAGGCTGCAATAACAAAACACACACACACACACACACACACCAAAACCCAAACAAACTGAATATATTCTTTATAATGGGTTTTGTTGTGGGAAAATAGGCTGAAGAAGCAGTTGAATTGACTTGTTAAAGAAAAAGTGACAAAGGCAGAATAAAACATTGCTTTGTGACTTTCAGGTTTGAAAATTTGGGGTCATTTCTGGCATTTTTAATGGCATAATTTTTCTGGAATCTTGTGAATGAACTTTGCCACTCAGAATAATACTCCTGCAGTGGCAAGGCAATCGAATGAGCCATAGCCAGTAGTTTTCATGCAGATAATTCAGCTGAAATGGTAGCCACCATAAATTTTACCTTATGCTTTATAGCATAACCCCTTAGTGACTTTGGCTTAGTGGAAAGCACTTCCCAGTTTCCTGATTTCCTTTCACCAAGTAAGCCTCCACTCCTGTCAAAAATATGCTCCTGAGTTTTGGGGCCAGGGGATCTTCCAGAACATAACCAGATGTGGTGTGGGGGGCTGCAAGAAATAGGTCGGATCAATGAAAATTGTGTGCCCTGGCTTGCACAAGCAGATATCCTTTCTTCACAGAAGGGTTCATGTGGCACTGGGTTCCAAGTGTTTGAGGACAGGGACATTCTCAGGGAAACCAAAATCCTTGTTTACAAAGCTATTGTACTACCAACCTTACTGTATGCTTATGAAACATGGACCACTTATAAACACCATCTCCAACTCCTTGAAAGATTCCATCAACGGTGTCTCCGAAAAATTTTGCACATCACTTGGGAAGACAAGCGAACTAATATCAGTGTACTGGAAGAAGCAAAGATCACTAGTGTTGAAACAATGATTCTTCAACATCAGCTTCGTTGGACTGTTGTGCGGATGCCTGATTATCGTCTTCCAAGGCAACTGCTCTATTCCGAACTTAAGAATGCAAAGCGTAATGCTGGTGGTCAACAAAAGAGGTTTAAAGACTGTCTCAAGGCAAATCTAAAAAAATGTAGCATAAACACTGACAACTGGGAAACACTGGCCTGCGAGCACTCCAGTTAGAGAACAGCCTTTACCAAAAGTGTCATGGGCTTTGAAGACACTCGAACTCAGGATGCAAGGGAGAAACATGCTAAGAGGAAGGCACACTTGGCAAATCCACACCGTGATCAACTCCTGCCCAGAAACCAATGTCCCCACTGTGGAAGGATGTGTGGGTCCAGAATTGGCCTCCACAGTCACTTGCGGACACATTGTTAAAACCGTGTTTATGGAAAACAATCTTACTCGGCTACAAGTGATCACCGAAGAAGAAGAAGATGTTGAAGGTTAAAACTATTGATTGCTGAAAATTTGGAGGTTGTAAGGGATGGGGTTCTCAAGCCCCGCAAAATCTCACTGAAATCTGCAAGTGTATGGACCCTGCTGGTACACCATCTGAATCTGAGTAATACCACAACCAACATGCATTCAGTTAAATGGGCCAGAAAATCTTTTTTACGGAATGCAATAACATTAAACACTCACAAGATCTTGGAACAGATTTCCATTTCCATGGAGTTGAAGTTCCAGGAAAGGCAGGTAGTATTCCATAGTTCTTCATATAATTCTCTGCCCTGTGGAAAAAAAGAGAGGCAGCTATAACAGGCACAGGTGTACCTTCATCAATTGTTCCCAATCGTTTCAAATCTTCTAGGTGATATTTCAAGAAGGAGGTTCTGACTAGTCATCAAGAATAACTTTCTGGCACTAAGAGCTGTTTGACAGTGGAAGGGACTCAGGAGGTGGTGGGCTCTCCTTCCTTGGAGGTTTATATGCAGAGGCTGGATGGCCATCTGTCATGGATGCTTCAGTTGAGATGCCTGCACTGTGGGGGTTGGACTAGATGACCCAAGGCTCCCTTCCGACTCTATAATTCTATGGATTGCAAAAGCTCTGGATCCACATGACAAATCCCAGTGCTTATTTTTCTGGGGAAACCCTTTCCCCCCATCCCATTATGACCCATGAATGGGTATAATGTGGACTTGGTTATAAATTTTATATTTTAAAGCACCTTTTTAATTTTAAACCCAAGAGTGATGGAAATGGTGCCCCCAGCTCCCCCCCAAACCACTGTGTTAAATAAAGCAAAAGATGATAAAGGAAGCTCAGTCTCAAAATGGTTCCAACGAATGTGTAGTGCAGAATGAGATTTGTTAGCATCTCTCTTTAGTGGAGCCGAACACCGCAGAAGCCATAAATAATGCACAGCTGCTAACCATCATAATTAGAATGCCTGCTGAGAAATGGCTGCAACACACCAGTAGGATGGCAGTGACTAACTATTTCAATACACCGGCTCTGGGGATGGGGATGCACACAGCGTCTGGTCCCCTACTCACTGGATCAAATTGCCTTGGCCAAATTGCCTTGGTCATCATCGCCTTGCTGATTCATAACCCCCCAAAAGCAGCCGCAATGTCTCTTAAAATCCCAGCGGTCTTTACGAAATGTGCCACGGTAACCATTTATTCAGCTTGGGGCAGATGAGGAGAGAAATGACAAGGAAGCAGGACTAATAAGTAGGCATTGTTTTGTAGCAGGCTTCCCACGTTCCCAGGATGCTAAAGATACATCAGCTGGGATGACTGGGAACTGGGAACCCAGTTTTGTTGATGTCCGTGGCGCTTTTTGTGTGTTGTACAAACAATTCTTCAGTCTTGTGTGCATGATATCCAGCCAGAAATTTATTCCCTTCATACTTTTTTTTGCTAGTTTAAATTTGTTCTCATTTTTAAAAGCATTAAACACACACCCAAAACAGCTTTAAATGTATACAGTGCTGCAGATGACTTTTAGGGACAAAGTTGTCACACGGCTAATTCTTCAATGAAGAAAAATCACATGCAGGTATCAGATTTGCTAATGCGCCACAACTCAGCAGAAGCACTCTGCATTCTAGAATAGTAGACTTTCCAGACACAGAGTCCTGTCATTAGCTCAGATATGAATGATGGGACACAGTTCTCTCCCTCCCTCCCCCCTCTCTTTTACTGTTATCTTAAGATGGTTGGTGGACCTATCTTAGGTCAGGGCAGGGGTCAGCAACCTTTTTCAGCCATGGGCCAATCCACTGCCCCTCAGACCATGTGGTAGGCCAGACTATATTTTTTTTTGGGGGGGGGAGGAATGAACAAATTCCTATGCCCCACAAATAACCCAGAGATGCATTTATAAATAAAAGCACACATTCTACTCATGTAAAAAACCAGGCTGGCCTCATGAATAACCAAGATTATGCATTTTAAATAAAAGGACACATTCTACTCATGTAAAAACACGCTGATTCCCGGACTGTCCATGGGCCGGATTGAGAAGGCCCACGGGCCTTAGGTTGCCTACCCCTGGGTCAGGCTGACTGTGACCTAGTTGTGGGTCTCAAGAATTCACGAGTTGAGGAACTACATACTAGACCAGGGTTTCCCAGACTTAGGTCTCCAGCTATTGTTGGACTAAAACTCTGACCTTCCCCAGCTAGCAGGACCAGTGATCATGGATAATGGGAATTGTAGTCCAAAAACTGCTGAAGACCAGAGTTTGGGAAACCCTGTACTAGAATGTCCTAGACAACAGATAAACACAATTGCTAGAATAGTTATTGTATTACGTCATTTTATGGTGTTTTTTTTTAAAAAAAGTAAGTCAAACCAAGCATTCATAGAAAACATAATAATAATAATAATAATAATAATAATAATAATAATAAATTTATTTATACCCCGCCCATATGGCTAGGTTTCCCCAGCCACTCTGGGTGGCTTCCAACAAAATATTAAAATAATCTGTTAAACATTAAAAGCTTCCCTAAACTGGGCTGCCTTCAGATGTCTGATAAAAGTCTGGTGGTAGTTTTTCTCTTTGAGATCTGGTGGGAGGGCGTTACACAGGACAGGTGCCACTACCAAGAAGGCCCTCTGCCTGGTTCCCTGTAACTTGGCTTCTCGCAGTGAGGGAACCACCAGAAGGCCCTCGGCACTGGACCTCAGTGTCCGGGCGGAATGATGGGGGTGGAGACACTCCTTCAGGTATACTGGGCCGAGGCCATTCAGGGCTTTAAAGGTCAGCACCAAAACTTTGAATTGTGCTCGGAAACATACTGGGAGCCAATGTAGGTCTTTCAAGATCAGTGTTATGTGGTCTCAGCTGCCGCTCCCAGTCACCAGTCTAGCTGCCGCATTTTGGATTAGTTGCAGTTTCTGGGTCACCTTCAAAGGTAGCCCCACATGAGGAATATATGGGCGCATATTCAAAAAGTACATTGTTTCAAAACCACTTTTGAATTTCTGTGATAAAGAACACTGTGCTTGAGCGTAAGGAAAGAATGTTGTTGAATTTTCGTCATTTAGCTAAGTTCTCAATACATGACCTACTAGGTACTCAAGACTGGCAGAAATCTCACTCACACCTCTGGTAAAAACTGAGCACATGATTGCTGTGTTATATTTGTGAGTTTGCAAGGGAGCTATAAATATTTTCCAGCCCACTGCACTGTGCTCATAAGACTGGATGTGAGTGAATTGTTATGGTATATAGGTAGAATGCCCATGTAAGCGGGGAAATATTCAGAGCCACTCATAAAAGAAAACAACAAATTAAGAGTCAGGGTACTTGCTCCCCTTAAATAATTCTTATGAGTTTCTGTTGCTGGGAAACCTACAGCAAACAACAGGGAATCTTAAGATCATAAGGCTTAAGCCAATTCCTCTTCCTCTCCAGGAATTAATTTAGCCCTTTTGGGGTATTGATCTGGCCCTGTTACTGTTCTGCCAGCTGTGTCAGTCAGAAGTGGATTTTCTATGGAGCACAGACACGTTCCATTGAAGAAGAAGAGGAATTAAAAAAAGTGTTTTCAGATAAGGCTTTGCTCTCGGCTTTTTCGCTGAAGTTTTTCGGAGTAGCTGCTATGCTGAATCTTCTGAGGTGTGTGCAGAGTTTTTAAAAAGCTGAAAAATAGGGGAAGCGCCTTTAGCTCAGAGGCAGAGAGGATACACCATGAACACAGAATATCTTGGAGGCAGGCAGCGTCTTGGGTCTCCTGGGCCTTTGAGGTGAGCAGATCATGAATGGCATCAGTTCAGTCAGATAGCTATGATGTCTTTGTTTGAAATCACCCAGCAAATATTTATCCATAGCCACAAGGGATCACCTGGAAGCGAGAATCCCTGTAAAATAGCACTCACATTGTGTGTGTGTTTGCATCGTAGTGGTGAATTGTTGAGATTTTATCTGATCACAAGCTGATGCTGGACCTGTTGATGTTTGGGAGAAGAGCATAGTCTCTGTTATCATCACCGTGATCAATTTATTTATATGCCGTGTTTCCACTTTAGGCTTGAAACTGCCCCCAAGAACAATAAGCAAATCAATATTTGCAGGTATGACAAAATATAGTTATATAGTCATACAGATATCAAACAGAATTCATAATGTAATAATTAAATTCACATTAGCAAGCTAAGCAAGAGACGGCAATTAAATTTTCCCCTAAACCTATTAAAAACATTCCTTTCAAAAATAAGACTAAAAGATCCTATTCACATTTAGCCAGCAAATCCACTAGCTCACCCAAACCATGAAGATATCGGAAGCAAATAGCCACAGCAATATCAAAATGTTACAGTTTGAACTAGTGAAATTCAAAACCTCTCAAAACAGCAGCATTACGAGGGCCCAGAAGTCCTATGTCCCAGGGGACAAAGGAAGCATTGTATCTCCTCTTCCTGGACAGAGAGAGATCTCTGACCTTGGAGAAGGACAACTGATGTCAGATTTTCCCTCCTTGTGCTGAGGAAACATCTGTGGCAGTTGGGCACTAGAGTGCCAATGCTGCCCTTGGTTCTTCGTTCCTTGCATCCTATGGCCACATAAGTAAGGTTGCACAGCATCTAACATCCCTCTTCTTCCACCAAAGGTCACTCTGGGCACGGGGACTTAATCCAGTTCACATTTAAAGGTGATCCTAGCTATTTCACACTTTGCCACATGATAGGCAAGTCGAAACACAGGCATCCTTTGAAATCCCCTCTTCTCTGAATTCTGCAATGCAGTTCTACAGCTGAATAAAGTGTACAAAGATGCATCTATACTAGGGTAAAATATGTATACAAAATGCAGTATTTCAGGGGGAACTGCTTTGCCACAATGTGCAGACTGGGCAACGTTGTAGGTAAAGATGTCTGTGTTAGAAGAAATTTGCAGAAAAATGCTGATGAGGACTTTTAAAAAAACCACAAACTATGGAAATGTGGAGAAATGAACTGAAGATTAGAAAAATGAGAGAAACCAAAATTGACTGATTTGCGCATCCGTATGTCGCTTACCCCTCTTCCATTATATATTGCTGTAGGCTCTTTCAGGCTTGCTGTGTTCTATATTCAGTTACTTTGTGAGACTCCACCCTCTGCATATTTAAAAGCCAAAATGGTGATTGATCTTGTGGTAATGGTATCCTGGAAAGACATAATTATCCAACACAGTGTTATCAACAGTTCAAAACACACTTCAGTAGCTACAATGGGTAAAATGATGGTTGTCATGGAAGGTTTAGAGGACACACCAGTCAGAATGCTGGGCATATTTTTGTACAGTGGTACCGAAGGTTAAGAACTTAATTCATTCTGGAGGTCCGTTCTTAACCTGAAACTGTTCTTAACCTGAAGCACCACTTTAGCTAATGGTGCCTCCCACTGCCGCTGCATGATTTCAGTTCTCATCCTGAAGCAAAGTTCTTAACCCGAGGTAATATTTCTGGGTTAGCGGAGTCTGTAACCTGAAGCGTCAGTAACCCAAGGTACCACTGTATTTCCTTTTCTCAGTCACTTCCAAATTGGCCTGTTTTCTGAGATTCCATCCTGATTTGTTTGCACAAGGTTTTCAGGGAGGTTAGACAACATTGGAAATATTAGCAAGCGTCTCCGGAAGATAAGGACCAGGGACAAAATAAACCTAATGGTATATAGGGTAAGGTTACCAGGCGTCCCCGTTTCCCGGGGACGGTCCCCAGATTTACAAATCAGTCCCCTGACAAAATCCTATCATTCCGACTCACTTCAGTGAAGTGTCCCTGGATTCATTGAAAATAATCTGGTAACCTTAATATAGGGATAGTTGGGTAGACTTTTAAAGAGTGACTCAGAGCTGTCACACTATTGCATGTCATAGAACACTTTCTATTCTTAACAAGCTAAAAAGGAAGAGAGGCTGTTACACTTGTGTTCAGAGAATAGAATAGAATAGAATAGACCTTGCACTTCGTTTGGTGGTGGAAGTGTCCATTAATTGCAAAGTTCTAAAACTTGACCTGGACACGGCTGAGTTAAGGCAGGTTGAAAGCATGCCATCAATATTCACCGTCAGTACAAATACTACCGTATACATAAATCCCCATCTGTCAGTATGGAACGGTGCCGGCTCAAGTTAATTGGACTCTTGCCCTAAAACACAGGTGCCTGGCATTAACGTGTTTCAATTGCCAGGCTACAAAGCAGTGGGTACCACTTCCTTCGCAGGAGGTTCCTTCCTGGTGCCAGCACATGAATGCTCTGGCATTCGGCCGGCAGTACCGCTCATCATTCAGAAAAGGGGTAAATGCAGGCAACAGAAGGTATCTTAGGCCAGGGGTGAGGAATGTTGTTTTGTTTCTTAAGCCCAAGGGCTGCATTTCCTTTGGGGGGCGGGGCAGAGGAGTGAGAAGGGACTGATGGGAAGGGTCAGTGGAGCAACACATGCCAATTTTACCCCTGTGCAGGTAGCCTAGTTTCCATACTCAGTCCCACACCCCTCCGTATCTCCTCCATCCAGGCAAGGAAGAGGCATATTGTACACAATCCACCCAGGCAAAACACTCAAGGAGGGTAGCAAAGCAGGGAGGTGAGGCTACGTGGGCCAGATTGAGATTCCTGGAGGGAGGGCCACATCCCTGCCTTGGGCTCTTAGCTCTCACCTATGTGTGCATTCCGTGAGGTTTAAGTCGTGGTTGCAGAGATGCTCCTAAGTGCTGCCTATCAAGGCTGCAGGCAAGCAACAGATTTTGCAGAACGTTGGAAGCTACATTCATACAATTATTCCACAGTACAGTGGTACCTTGGGTTACATACGCTTCAGGTTACAGACACTTCAGGTTACAGACTCTGCTAATCAAGCAATAGTACCTCAGGTTAAGAACTTTGCTTCAGGATGAGAACAGAAATCGTGTGGCGCCAGCGCTGCAAGACCCCATTAGCTAAAGTGGTCTTGAGGTTAAGAACAGTTTCAGGTTAAGAACGGACCTCCAGAACAAATTAAGTTCTTAACCTGAGGTACCACTGTATTCTTTCCTTATAGGTTTTGCATGTGTATCTGGTGCTTCAAGCAACACCCTCGAAATCTATTCCATATAATTTATTACAACACTTATCACCCACATTTCTTCCAAGTTGCTCAAGGTTGTGTATATGGTTCTCCCCTCCCATTTTATCCTCACTGTATAACAGTGTTTGGCCTAAGGTAATGCAACATTTTGGTCCAGCAGGGATGGGTCATTTGACACCCTTCCCCCAACCTTTGCGACACCAGCTTAAGCCAGGCTCTGGGAAAGAGGCATGAGGGTGTATGGGCAATTTATCCGGAAGATAATTGTATATAGAGGAGTTAGTGATCTGGCGTGGTTGCCGTCTTCCTGCTCTCTGTTCCTCCCCCCTCCCCTTGTCTCTTAAGTTCTTTGATGGCACGAGAACAGCCTTTAATGTCCTAATCTGGTGGAAGGAAGTGATAGGGCTAGGTACCTTCTTTGATGTTGGACATTGTTTCGAGAAAGTGAGGCATTGGGAAGGGGTGGCTTATGAATAATCTGTACATAGCCAATAATAAATGATCTACACATAGTCTGTCGGGCAAGCCACACATGCTAGCTTTCTATAAATTGGATGGTTTGGGCCAGAATTGGGAGAAGCTTGTGCATGGACTGATCAGCCATGGGGCCGTGCAAACTGAGGCTACCTGGGGGAGTCACTTCGCCACTTCTTGAGGGCTTCCAAGTAGCAGGCTGAGGTGCTTGCTTGGTATGTACATATTGCTTGCTGTTTAGAATAAAATCTTTAATCTTCTCACTCACTTGTGTTTTGTATTGCTTCTGAATCTCATTTTAAAAGAGCTACCTTGCATTTGGCAAGACAAAGGGCTCTGGACCTAGAGCCCTCTTACCTCCTCCCCAGAGCCCTGTAAACACTTGGGAAGAGGGATGTAGGACTCCAGGACCCTGTTGGAGCCCTTACACCTCCTTCCCGAAGCTGGGCAAGAGCATAATGGGCTTTGAGAAGATGTCCTCTTCAACTGTGCACCTGCTGCAACTATACCACTCACAATGCCCTAAATCCGCCTCTAGGTCAGGGCTGGCTGGGGCTGATGAAGTTGTAGACCACCAACATATGAAGAACATTACCTTGGCTATTCTTGCTCAGAGGTATCTTGGACTTCAGTTTAAAAGGTCCACTCAGTCTGGAAACAAATGAGCAACTTTTGTTTCCCCTCCCCTCTCTTTTAGCATAGGCTTTGTGTCATCCACACATGAAACTAGCACTCATGACATCGGTCAAATCGGATTAAAAATCATCATCAAATACTCATCAATTCATTTGGCTTCTTCAAAACTGAGGTTCGCTGCTGTCCTAGGGAGACCATTCCAGAATTAAAAGCCTGTCCAGATCTTAGTTATTAATAGATAGCAGCTATTGATTAGCTCTTGTACCCCAAGATCAAATTTAATCAAACTCTTGCCGTCTTTCAAATCTTTATTCTGATTAACAGCATCATCCTTCTACAGGAGCGACATATTTCTCTTTGAAGAGTGCAGACCTCTTCTCGTGACTGGGAGTATAAAGACATACGCCCTGATTGATGGACCAAACGCACCTACGCTTTATGGCACCTGTTTGAGCTTCCCTGCCAGCAAACTCTGAATTCATGGACACTTCTGACTGCCACCAAGACAGATTGTACAACACAGCAGGTGCCTGAGCAGCTCACAAACGTTTTACAGATGAAATGGATGTAAGGGAAAACCATTTATTCTCTTTCAAGTTGGCCTAACAACGCCATGGAAATGGTGCCAAGTACTAAGAAATAAATAAACGAGCCACAAAAGTGTAATCTAAACAGGTTAGGCCCATGGAGTCTCCAGGAAAGAACAAGTTCAGCTGGAAAGCAATATCTCTGGCTTCTGAAGGGAGAGAGGAGAGCCTGAGGCCCACTCTATCACCATGACTAGGACCATCTGGCATTTGGTTCCTCCCATACCCTCCAACATTTCTGCAATGAAAACAGGGACATCCTATTCAATAATAATAATAATAATAATAATAATAATAATATACCACACCCATCTGACTGGGTTGCTCCAGGCATTCTGGGCAACTTTCAACATATATAAAAACATAAAACATTAAAAAAACTTCCCTATACAAGGCTGCCTTCAGATATCTTCTAAAGATTGTATGGTTACCTATCTCCTTGGCTCAGAGATCACATAACTCCATACCCTCCAACATTTCTCCAATGAAAATAGCGACGTCATAAGGAAAAGTGGGACACACTGGGATCAAATCAGAAACTGGAACTTCTTTAAATCCAGGACTGTACCTAGGAAATAGGGACACTTGGAGGGTCTGAAATGAACTTATTTTCTTTTCCCCTTCACATGCTTTTTCTCTTTGGGTCATAAGAGATTGTAAGCAGCGTTCAAAACTCCCATTGTTCTAGGCGCGTTTTGCAACAAGGGTTTTCATTAGCGTGAGCAGTTTCTGAGCTCTGGGCGCAGCACTGCACCTAAGATTTCAGATGAAAACTGCAGAGTGGAAGGAAAGGAGGACCTTTTTCTGCTTCCCCACTTCCAGAAACCCTGAAGACTGGAGAAGAGACCCTCTTAGGGAGGTGGGCTGGGGAAGCGTGGCTTTTTGTTTTTTGCAGTCTTCGGATGAGGACTAGACCGTGTGAAAAATGAATATAAGATTTTAGCTGTATTTCATTCATTTGCAGCTTTGTATTCTTGCTATTAAAAAAGTGCACCTAGACATTCTGTTGTTGTGCCCATATCCTAGGTTTAAGGTGCTATTTAGCTCCTAGCTTTCATATCTCTGTTTCTAACACTGATTGTAAGGCTACAGGCCAGGACTGTTCAGCGGCAACAACAAGAAACTCTGTCCCCTATTTTAATTTTATAGAGGTTTTTGAGTGGTTAGGGTCATTATCTTTACCAGTGTTTGTGGGATCCTTCTTGTTAGTACAGTTATACCCTAAGAGTAATGGCCTTTGAAGATTAAAAATGAATGGAACTGAGCTCTAAATGAACAACAGTGTACTACCTATAGCAACCACATTACACAGGTACAGCTTACTCACTGTGTAAACGTGCGTAGTGCGAATGGCTACAGTCTCTTGCCACTTCTCTTCAAAGTAGATCATTTTCCTTTCCCACGCCAGATGCACAACATGCATTTCTGACAGGCGATCAAAGATAGATTGATCAATAAGAAATACAGGTTTGGATTTAATTCTGACATCTTATTTAGGGTCCTCACGGAAAATGTCACTATAGAATATGATAGGAAGAACAGAATATCATTTTAGGGGTAGCCTTTGAAAGTTTAGGGTAGTGGGCTTATTTCAAGCACAAAATGGAGGCTGGTGCAAATTTTGAAAGCGCAGATTTTGAAAGATAGCTGTGTTTTGACCCATGCATTGCTTTGGAAAGTGAAAAATGGATAGATCCTGCTTTAAATGCAACCTGAATCAAATTTCCCCCTTATCCTTAGTGGACGGATTATCTACTTGTAATTGACCTCCTTGAGCTTTGGGTTAATTTGTTGATGTTAACAGCTATTTTTAATTTGTGTCCCTCTAACCTCTGCTCTCTTGATATCACCGATTAGAAGCATGGCAGGGACTTACTGGCTTATGCCGTGATTATCACACTTGCCTCTTGGGATTTTAATGATCAGGGTGTTCAAAACTTTAAAAATGTCAGCTGCTGGCTACCTGGACACACCGTTCCTTTCAGCAAACATCTTATTAATCTTCTGGCTTTTAAGAAGAAAAGTGGGAGAGAATGTTTTGAGTGAGGTGTTAGTGCCAAATTATTTTTAAATTAAGCCTGGTGATTTTTTCTTCTTCTCCAGATCTTGAGAGGAGAAGGGGGGGAGGAATCCCTTAAATCTGTGGGGGAATGGGATTAAGCCAAGGCACTTCAAGTGATAGCAGGCTGAAGGCAACAGGAGCTTTCATGATGAGATATAATAAGAAGGGACAAAGGAGCAAAGCCTGTTGTCAGGATGAAAAGAATACAAAGTCAGGGAGATAAGTACTTACTCATTACACACAGGGGAACGTCGTGTAAGTTGTAGAAATTGAGAGAGTGATTGAGAATCCGCAGGTGCTCACTAAATTTGAAAATGAAGGTGTGTATATAAAATCATACCTATCGAATTAGGAAGAATATGTTATCCCCGAGATGTAAATTTTAGGTATGGCAGGACTGTGCAAGGGTGAACTATTTCATGCTCCCCCAGGTGAGACACATCAGAGATAACAAGCAATAATGGGTCTCATTTGTGTAGCATTCTGCTACTTCAAAGCATTTCTAAATATCACCTTAATTGTGTCAAAAGAGTAGGCCAAAAGGAAAGGTCGGTGTTAAGGCTGTTTCTTCCGAGATGTCAATGTGGGATGCATACTCCAATCAATTGTCACGGAACCTGATTTTTAAATGATTCAGGTCAATTACAGCAAGACCTTTGTAAGCCAACCACTCGCACAATGTCATTACGAGCTGCTACAGTCAGCTGTCGAGCTCGTTGTTAGTATTTTGCCATTTGAAGCAATTAAGATACCAACATGAATGTCGCCTGGAGGTTCAAACTCATAAAGCAAGAACATAAGAAGAGCCTTTCTGGATGAGACCACACAGGTCTGTCCTGTCTAGTCCTTCCCCCCGCTAATAGTGACTGCCAAACATACGCTTCTGGGAAACCCACAAGCAAGGCACATTTTCATTTCTCTTGGCCTCAGCACCTGGTACTCAAGGATATACTGTATCTGAACATAGGTAAAAGGTAAAGGACCCCTGGACGGTTAAGTCCAGTCAAAGGCGACTATGGGGTGTGGCGCTCATCTTGCTTTCAGGCCGAGGGAGCTGACGTTTGTCCACAGACAGCTTTTCCAGGCCATGTGACCAGCATGGCTAAACCGCTTCTGGAACAATGGGACACTGTGACGGAAACCAGAGTGCAGAGAAACGCCATTTACCTTCCTGTCACAGTGGTACCTATTTATCTACTTGCACTGGTGTGCTTTCGAACTGCTAGGTTGGCAGGAGCTGGGACAGAGCTCACCTCATTGTGGGGATTCAAACCGCCAACCTTCTGATCAGCAAGCCCAAGAGGCTCAGTGGTTTAGAGCACAGTGCCACCCGCATCCCTTCATCTGAACATAGAGGTTCAGTCTAGCTACCATGGTTCTTAACAGTTTATAGGCCTAAACACCACAAGCTTGTTGAACCATTTTTAAAGGTATTTAAGCCAGTAGCAATTGCCAGAAAATTCCAGAGGTGGAGACCTCTGCCAAATACTGACTAGACTAAGAGCATGTTCAGAACCGTGAAGATTCAATGCCACATAATTTTCACTTCTTTTTGTAGAAAAGTGGCATTTTTCATGACAGCTGTAGAGCGGAAAACCTTTCAGTTTGACTTAGCTCCCCCCCTTTGTTAGAACAATTTAATTTCTGACTTACTTATAGCATCCCCCCTGCTCCCGTGTGTAGATCCAGCCTGGGTGTGATTTCCAGTGAAGAAATGGCAGGCAGGAGAAGAATGCTTCGTCTCTTTCCCTTTGAGACCATTCCCTGCTAGCAGGGCTCATTTCATTTGCCCTTCTCTGGGTGGGAGATGGGAGAAATGTTGCTGGAGAATGCTTTGCAGGAGGAAAAGCAGTGGGCAGAGGAATGGTTCGACACTTTTCTCCCACCCTAATAGTTGCCACTCATGGCACTTGGCTGCTCTTGGGCGGCAACACCTGTTCAAAGCTACACATTAACCAAAATGTTGCATCGTTCTAAGCTAAGTTGCTGCGTAAGACAAAACCAAAGGCCAAGATGAAAATATCCCCCATCCGCAATATAATAGTGTTAAGCTGTGTTCCCTGTTCTTACCATAACCTTCATTCCTTCTCCATTATAGGTGATTATGCTACTGGGAGCATCTATGATCACAAGACTCCCAATTATTTAGGGACAGTCTTTGTTGCAGACAGACCAACTGCTAAGCGACAGATTGATTCATTGGTCTGGGTTGCATACTTTAATTGTGGATCATTATATTTCGGTACTTGCATAATTGGTTTTTATACTGCTCGGAGGCCTATTTGAGTGTTAAGTAGTATACAAATTACCGCATTTTGGCTCTATAAGATGCACCAGACCACAAGACGCACCTAGTTTTTGGAGGAGGAAAACAAGAAAAAAAATATTCTGAATCTCAGAAGCCAGAACAGCAAGAGGGATCGCTGCACAGTGAAAGCAGCAATCCCTCTTGCTGTTCTGGCTTCTGGGATAGCTGCACAGCCTGCATTCACTCCATAAGATGCACACACATTTCCCCTTACTTTTTAGGAGGGAAAATGTGAGTGTTATAGAGCAAAAAATATGGTAATTAATTTATTGACACTTAGGCACCAGGCCTAAGCAAAACCAGTCCTCAAGGGCTGAAAATGGAGTGTTGCATGGTACTGGTTATGCAAAAAAACAAGCATGGCTGTATTGTTACGTGTGCATTTTCATACACAGTTATGATTAAAAAATAAAATAAAAATAAAACAAATCCCTGCTTCACTATGCGAAGAATCAGAGGGAGGTAAAGACAACATGGGTTTTCTTTGTTCAGCAACTATGTGTGGCTTTTAAGAGACACAAATGTAACTTACTTGGAAGAAGATTTGATGGGAGTGTGACTCCAGCTGTTTTTCCACTTTGGGAACAGAAAGGTCGTCTGCATAAGTATTGCAATTTGTATTTTGTTGACGCCCTATAAAAAACACAGTTCTGACACCTATCACATCAAGAGCAGAGAAGAGATTCTAAAAAGAGAGGAAATAGCCGTCAAAGAGTTTCTTTCATACAGGATCAAATGATTGAGAGTGAAATATACCCTTTTCCAGATGAATAGGTATCCGGTGAGAATCTTTCCTTTACAATAATTCTTGATAGTCCTTATTAAACCTCTAGATGAAGTATTTCAAAAAGGTGACTTGAAAGGTTCAAGTAAGATAGATTGTTAGGATTTCTCTATTTGGAGGTCCAACTGTGTTAAGAAACAGACTAAACTACCAAAATTGTTAAAGGAGTTGAATACAACAGAGAAGAAATGAACAGGCTAAGCTAAAAACTTCACCATTCTGTTATGCTTCTCCCTCTGTCTACACCCAAAGATGGAACTGTAGAATTCATTCTGTATAAAAGTCTCTTCTGTTAAATGAAATAAGCACTTTTTAAAAAAGAAGATCATTAGGGGATAATACAAAGGGGTTCTAGTCTGTATAATCTCCGAGAGTTCTTCTTTAAAAATGCTGCCAATATCATGGCGAGAGATTTTTTAAAAATAGATAATGTAAGATACTCAGATAATAAAAAATTGAAATGGCAAACCAATCTCTAAAATAACTTTAGAACAGCTATAGAATTGCATGGCCTGCCCATTCCCATTGATTCAGTTTTCTCGACCTGCACGGAATGGGAGAGGATGGGAAGATCATATTGAGTGATCAGGGTTACACAACATGGGGTGAATTATATGCTTGTAGAGAGGCTACCTTAAGCACACACCTGCCAACACATGGATTTCAGTGGGAGGAGAGAATGGGATGCAACCACAGGTATGTGGGCAGAGATCTCTTTCTCCCTGTTTGGCCAACTGAGAAAGCCAAAATGCAGCTGCAAAAATGCATTCAGAAATGGAAAGGAAGCTAAGTCCTTGTGGAAGACATATGAGAAAGCCCCCTTGTGTGTGGCTACCAACCTTGTTTCAGAAGGGCATTGGAACAGGAGGACCAGTCAATCTTAAAGGATGGGCAGGTTCACATAAGAGATGGTCCTTCAAGAAGAAGAAGAAGAAGAAGAAGAAGTGGAAGAGGAGTTTGGATCTGATATCCCGCTTTATCACTACCCGAAGGAGTCTCAAAGCGGCTAACATTCTCCTTTCCCTTCCTCCCCCACAGCAAACACTCTGTGAGGTGAGTGAGGCTGAGAGACTTCAGAGAAGTGTGACTGGCCCAAGGTCACCCAGCAGCTGCATGTGGAGGAGCGGAGACGCGAACCCGGTTCCCCAGATTATGAGTCTACCGTTCTTAACCACTACACCACACTGGCTCTCAAAGCTGTTTAGGGTTTATAGGTGATAGCTAATACTTTTGCATGGACAGGCGGAGTCCCCCCAACCCCTGGTGACCCCCGAGCGGAATAATGACTCAAGACAACATGCTATGAGATTAAAGTTGGCCACAACTTTATTAAGTTTCAGATGTAGGGAGACCTTGGCTCAGGCATTGGGCGTTTATCCTTCCCAGTCCCCAGCCGGGGCTCTGGGAGACATCAGGGTTATCCAGAATGTGTGGGTATTGGGCTGGCTCTGGAGAACATATGTTCAAGCAGGGAGCCCACCCCCTGTTTCGCCGCCATTGCAGGGGAGAGCAATGACAACCTCTCGGCGTATGGCTAATGCCTCCCCTCAAGACCCCTTTAATGGAGAACCCTGGGATCGCTGCCACAAGGGGTGTGGGTGTGGGTCACCGCTTCACACCTCCCCCCCCATTTAGGAAGATAGACAAAAGGATTCCGCCCAAGGCCATTGTGTGTTGCTACCATGTTGTTTCAGAAGGGCATTGGCACATGCACAGCAGTCAATCTTAAAGGATGGGCAGGTTCTCATAAGAGATGGTCCTTCAAGAAGCTTTGCCACAAGCTGTTTAGGGCTTTATGGGTGATAGCTAATACTTTTAATGGTACTCAGACATAGCCTGGCAGTTGGTGCATTGCTATAAGGTGGTCTCTCTCTGTGTTACAGAATCCTAGCACCTTGCCCCAGTCAGGATTTTTTTGCTGCAATGTTTTGCACCACTTAAAGTTTCTGAGTAGCTTTCAAGAGCCAGCCCCACATGCAACATGTGGCAGTAGTCCAGCCAAGATGTAACTAATGCAGGCATGGCCAAACTTGGCCCTCCAGCTGTTTTGGAACTACAACTCCCATTACACCTAGCTAACAGGACCAGTGGTCAGGAATGATGGGAACTGTAGTCCCAAAACAGCTGGAGGGCCAAGTTTGGCCGTGCCTGAAATGCATGTAGGGTTATTTCCAGGCCTGGCCATTCCAGGAACAGGTGCAATTGACATACCAGCCAACATCGCGGCACAATCATGTGTGAGAAACATCAGAGACAACCTCAGGAACACCCAAAACAATGAGAATTACAGTGGTACCTCAGGTTACATATGCTTCAGGTTACAGACTCCGCTAACTCAGAAATAGTACCTCAGGTTAAGAACTTTGCTTCAGGATGAGAACAGAAATTGTGCTCCGGCCCCATTATCTAAAGTGGTGCTTCAGGTTAAGAACAGTGTCAGGTTAAGAACGGACCTCCGGAACGAATTAAGTACTTAACCTGAGGTACCACTGTATATACAAAGTGATTTATGAGTAGATGAAACAAGAATACATGTAAAATGAACACACACACAAACACACACAAACACGGGTGGCAGCCACTGTTGTGCAACGCCTACAGAAATTTCTCCAAACACCTCAAATTTTTCTATTATTTCCACAATATCTTCTGGATACTGTGTTCCATTTTTATACCATTTTCATGGTTGGGGGGGTGGTCCTGTGGTTTTGTATGTCCTGTTCTTGGTGGTCTTTTTGTTTTGGTGATGTTTTAAGTGTAACTTGCTAGCAGCTTGGGGTTAGAAAAATCATTTAAATAATTCACTTTTGCTTTTAGGTGGTGGTGGTGGGGAGTTGGTTTTAAAAAGAATGAGAGTTATTCTGATTACTTTTAGGTTGGCCACCCCCAAATTTCTCTAGCAAGAGCAGAGAGGCCTTTCTCTGTTTAATTTAAACAGAGAAGAGCAAATTTTGCTCAATATCCTACCATTTATTTCCTAAGTAGAAATTCCACAGGCGAAGGAAGGGGGAGGGAGGGGGAGAGCTGGGGTCGGGGAGGGGAGGGGAGGGAAAGTAATCCTCTTTGCCAAACAAAACATCAAAAATCTCAGTAATTTTGTAAATGGCATTTACTGCTTCAGCTGAAATGTTTTGATGTTTTTTGATGTTTCTCAATGAAAACAGAAGCAGAAAGGATGAATTGCTTTGCATTTATGCAGTGGGCTTCACAGTTAGCACCTCAAAGCGCAGGGATTATTGGCTCTGTCATGTTTGCTTTGTGTTTAGGTCCCCTCAGAAGACTCTTCAGCATCGGTCTTCAGGGAGAACGGATGAGTAATTGAAATGATGTCATCCTGGAAAAGCGTCGCAGCCAATATGCCAGCTTCCTTCAGTTCTAGTGAAAGGAGGCTAGTACTTCTGTGCATTTTCCACTTCTTCTTTGAATACTTGGTCATGCCCTTCAGGCTATGCAATTCACCCCTGTCTTGCAACGTCTAACGAATGATATTTTCCACGGGATCTTGGACTATTGTGTTATTGTAGATCTTAATGCAGGCTTCCTCAACCTCGGCCCTCCAGATGTTTTGAGACTACAGTTCCCATCATCCCTGACCACTGGTCCTGCTAGCTAGGGATCATGGGAGTTGTAGGCCAAAAACATCTGGAGGGCTGAGGTTGAGGAAGCCTGTCTTAATGTCACGCTTCCTTGGTCTTCACCTTACTTCCGTGATTTAGGTTGTTTTAAACTGTTTTGAATGTTGTGTTTAATTGTTGTGACCTGCCCCGGAACTTTGGGGTAAAGAATGGGTAATTAGTAATAATTAAACCATCCCATACCTCTGTATTCTACACATATGATTCATCTTGGAGAGCCTCTGAAAAACCAACTCTATGCAGCTGTGATTATGACTGACCCAAGTTGAATTTTGTGGATATCCATCACCCCCAAGGCACTGGGATGGACCCCCACTGCTGTCCTGATTCCCACTGAAAACTGAAAGGTGTTCAGTGTTTCCTTGGATTTGCAAATTATTACTGTGGTTTCATCCCCAGCTTCTCCACAATAGTCATACTATTGAGAGATCTGTTAAGGAGCCAGTCTAGCTTCAAGTGGACCTTTTGACTACCTGAAACAGAAGCTCACCATGACAATCTGGGATTGCCAACCCTGGAACTGCTTCAATGTTCTTCTCTTCTGTCACAATGCCCTTTCAGCAGACCATTTGTGGCTTTACCAAACGCTCCATCAAATTTAGCCAGACATTTTTATCGGCATAGGTAAATAATCCACACGACAGCCAAAATATAAATGCAGGTAGCCAAATAGTTAGAAGTTACATCTGGATATATGGACTACTGGCTGCAAAGCCTGGTGGGACGCTCTTTCACAAGAGACCAAGGCCCTCTGGGATTTGACATCTTTCTGCAGGGCCTGCAAAATGGAGCTGTTCAGCCAGGCCTTTGGGCAGGATGCAGTTTGACTTACTTTCCTTTGTATAAAACAAGCCTGAAGGAGGCCTCCAACCCGCTCACAGGTACTTGTATGATCAGTGGAAACAGTTGGTCCTGGCAAGTATTAACCACTCTCAATTCCAACCTGAAAATTGCCACCTGCCCAGATTTTAACTTGCCTGAATTAATTTTAAGATGTATTTTAATTAATTGATGTCTGTTTTTATGCATATTGTGTTGTTTTTATGATGTTAGCTGCTCTGAGCCTGGCCTCGGCCGGGGAGGGCAGGATACAAATAAAATTTTATTATTATTATTATAAATAAAACAAACACTTGAATCTTTTTTTTTTTAAAAAGATGGCAATCCATGGGAGTAGCCTGGAATGTTCCAATCCCATACATATCCTGACTTCTTCCCTTGTCTCTGCAGCTCAGGATATGGGAGAATTAGTACCTTTTTTATACCAAACAGATGAAGTCCTACATTGACTGTGCTGAAAATGAGTCACTCATTACATCCAGCAAAGAAAACAAACAAATAAATGAAAATAAATGTGATACTTGCAACAGGAGTTCATAATCTTATATCTGAATAATTACACTGCGAATCAGAAAGTGATGCAATTAAGCAGCCTCTGCTGAAAAGACCCAACAACATTCTGTCGTGTTTCCATTCCATAGTTCTTGACGCCATACACATTCACTAAAGACTAGTAATTTTTTCCTTCTCGTAACAGTTTGCACACTGATATTTTCCAGTAAGCTGGCTAATGGGAATGCCCACATGTTTTAATATGTTTGCAATAGCCTGCCAATGAGTGCACTTATGTTGGTTTCATCATAACGACTCGGATCACTTCTCTGAAAGCTGGTCAACTGGTTAGGAAAACTACCAAGGCCCATTACTGAGGTCCAAGAGCATCGCAGATGGGTTGTTTAATTTATAATGGAGTGAGGGGATCTGCCCATGAGAATCCCACCATGCATGTCATGACCAAGATTCTGAACAACAGCCACAACTCTGATACAGGGGTGGTGGGGTGGAAGATGAACCCGCTGGATCAAGAAGATCAGTGGCAGAAGGCATGGAGTTGCTAGACAGTGTCAGCTAGGAACTCATTGAGCCCGGAACTGGAAGTCCCAAAGGCAGTAATACCCCAAGAAAACATTTTACAACCAGGGGCTTCATATGTTTTGCTGGTCTAGAGAATGCACGAGGAAGTTGCTGAGAGGGAGGCATCAGAGAAGCTCCAGGGCAGAGGAGTATCTCTCTAAGGAAGGGGGCAGATCTTGGAAGGAGAAGTCTGGCCCAAGGTGGATAAAAGGCTTAAGTTGAGGCCTCACCTCATATGAAGCTGTCTGCTTGGAGCTCTCCAGAGTTCTGAAATTCCAGGCTGACCATACGTGCTGCCCAGATGACGCAGCCACTTCCTCATACGTTGTGCTCTGTGGGTTCTTCTCACGGCCAGGACAGGAGAATGAATAGTAGGCCATGTTCTCTTGCCAGCTTGTGCTAGTGATATTGCTATTCATAGCAGATCCTCCATCAAGGAGCTCGGATTCTGCCATTAACATTAATTGCACAATAAAATTTGTGCAGATTGTCTGTAAATGTGTCCATCTTGCATTGTTCATGCTGTGCCTGACATTTGCTCTGATATTTTAATTTGGATTGGTGATGTGGGCACGTGGGGTTATATTGTACTCAGTGCTGAGGATACCCATAGGGGATCATTCCTGGTGGCTGTAGTGAAGACACAAAAACTCCACCGGGATCACATCTAATTCCCCAAACCCTTAGACTGGGGTCAAACAAGATGTCATTGCAAATATGTAATTAGAAACCACATTAGGGTGATGGTTATTATTATTATTATTATTATTATTATTATTATTATTATTAAATAGCAGAGGCTGGGGTGATTTTAATAAGCTGCAGCAAGGGGGGAAGGGAGGTTTAATCTCCCCCCCCCCCCCGAGCTGTAACAATCCCTCCTCCACTTATTGGCTTTAGGAAAATGAGAATTGTGATGTGTGAGAATTGTGATGTGTGTGTATGTGTAACACTAGCATAGCATTTCCCCCAACCCCACACCTTGTATAACTTGCTATCTAAATATTTGAAGATGTGAAGGAATGCATCTGAGAATGGATATTTCTTTTTTTGTGGGGTGAAACATGAGCAGGTGAGTAGTTTCAGCTGCTTTCCTTGTGAGAGGAATTTATTCCTTCTAATTACTTGTTTAAAGAGAAGGTGATTGGTCATTTGAAACAGACTTGGTTTTAAGGGAGGGGGTTTCCTGCTTTATTCATCAGGTGAGGAAAGGGAATTGGATGACCCTCGAGACCCTTTGGCTGCAGCCATGGGAGTATTGACACCAAATCCATTTGTGTCTGATTCCCTCCTTGATCACGAGGACTGCAGAGCATTTAAAAAGGTGGCTCCCCAGTCATGTGCATTTCTAGGCTCCTTTGCCTTATTTCTAACAAGGACCCCATATGCATGAGCTGGGTCAGGGGAATTGGACCATTCCCACCCCCTCATCCTCTCTGATCTTCCATCAACTAAGAGTAGGAACTGTCCACTCTTCACTTCCACAGGGGGGTTGTTCTGATCCAGCCACTACACACACCACATTCGTGGCATAAACCAGCCTCAGAAAGGGAGTTTTTGGTCTGTCCTGCGCTTGCAACTCTAGGGATGTGGGTGGCGCTGTGGGTTAAACCACAGAGCCTAGGACTTGCCGATCAGAAGGTTGGCGGTTTGAATCCCCGCGATGGGGTGAGCTCCTGTTGTTCGGTCCCTGCTCCTGTTGTTCGAAAACACGTTAAAGTGCAAGTAGATAAAGAGGTACCGCTCCGGCAGGAAGGTAAACGGCGTTTCCGTGCGCTGCTCTGGTTCGCCAGAAGCAGCTTAGTCATGCTGGCATGTACGCCGGCTCCCTCAGCCAATAAAGCGAGATGAGCGCCGCAACCCCAGAGTCGGTCACGACTGGACCTAATGGTCAGGGGTCCCTTTACCTTTAATTTAAATTTGCAATTGAACAGTTTATAGAACATTTAAAATATGTAACTCCCCCACCTGCAGTCTGAACTAGTTACAGTTCCATTCTACCACCTTTTTTTTTTTTTTGCTGCATGCACAGACAAGGCCTCGGATTTTGGAAAATTGAGATGTTTGTAAATTGTTTGCTATAAGGATGATAACTTTTTTTTTTTTTAAATAATTTTTATTAAAGTTTTAAACAACAAAGAAAAAAAAAGAAAAGCATACACAATACATATAACAAAAACACACACCAAAAACAAAACAAAATTCAACAATAAAGAAACAAGAAACATAACAATTAAAAACAATATCTCTTTTCCATATCTGTTTGTTAGTTACTTATTTTCTGGACTTCCTCATACCTCCCTCTTTGTATTCCAATCCAAATTGTTTGTCCAGCAATTTCTTTTCCACTTTTTAATCCCAATCTTTAGCTTTAATAAAATATTGAAATATATAACTTCAACTTCTTTAAACCTGATCTTTAGTCTTAGTATCATATAACGTTAAAATTTTCCCTCTTAATGTCAAATTTCCATTTCTTTAAACATCTTTAATCCTAATCTTTAATCTTAGTCTATCCTTAACTTTAACCTGTACAGCTGGAAACCGCTTATTTTCAGTCCAACATCACTCTAACATTCTTTAATTTTGCAATGTTTCTGAAGATAGTCTTTGAATTTCTTCCAATCTTCCTCCATCGACTCTTCTCCCTGGTCACAGATTCTACCAGTCTAAGGATGATAACTTTTAATTATTCACATCCACATATAACATTTCTTTTTTTAAAAAAATGTTGGTGTGATTTATTTTTGTTTGCTAATTTCAAAAAAACTTAAAAAAAAACTTTCCTTGGAAGAGTTTCTCATAATACGTTGGGAACAAAGGTAACTGGGTCCCCCCCCCAACCTAGCTTTCTCTTCCTCCCTCCCCTCAGTTGCGTATTTTTGGCAGCAGTTTGATCTCTCTCGATTCAAAGGCTTTCCTTATCCTCCAAACAGAAGAATCAAGTTTCAAAATGTACTTTAGAAAATTTGCTCAGTGCCAACAGGGATTTGATAATCCTGATTCTGATTGCGGTTTGGCTACCATTAAAGCGACTGGCAAAAGTATTCATTGAGCTGGAAGCAAGTCGTGCAATAGATCTGCAACATAAAATATTAAAGGTTAAGGTTAGCATGTGTGAAGTAGGTAATCTTTGCTTTCCCTCGAGGCCTCTTAAGCCTAGAACTCCCTTCTGAAACACCTCGCTGGTTCCACCACTCTCCTCTCAGTTTACCTTCCAACGCTAAACCATAGCTCTCTTTCCCCATTAACCCTCTGTCTTAAAGCCTGAAGTCCTTACTTCCAACTAAAGCAGAGCTAAGATACACTTTAAGTTCACAGACTCAAAATTGGAATAGACTTTGAAGGTCATGTGGTCCAACTTCCTTCTCAGTGCAGGATCAGGGTGCAATTTCAGCACCCCTGGCAGGAAGGACTGTGGCTCACTGGAAGAGCACCTGCTTTGTATGAAGAAGGTTCTGGGTTCAATTCCTGACATCTCCAGGTAGGGCAGGGCTCTGGAGAAATGGCCTGGAAAATCTGCTGCCACTACCCCTTCAGCATCTATCTCCTGAAAGGGCCACTTCACTCTGCCTAACAGTAGGGCCGGCACAAAACACTGCCTACCTGGCACTAGATTCCAGGGGCTAGATGAATAACAGCTTCATATGAAGCTGGAAACAAGGGCCACAATCCAGGACTTAGGCTGCACTCCTATACCCTCTTCTCTGGGTGTAAGCCCCACTAAACACCGTGGGACTTCCCACAGAGTAAATTTGCACAGGATTGTGCACTTAGTTATACACACTTCCACCTCATTGAAATCAATGGGGCAGCAACATGCCTTGTTCTGGATCCTGGCCAAGTGTGTTAGAACTTCATAGTTCTAACAACAGAGTTGTTCCAGTCATTAAGCAAACTTTCCACTGCAGATAAACATTTGCCTGCTCTAAAGGTAAAGGGACCCCTGCCCGTTAGGTCCAGTCGCGGACGACTCTGGGGTTGCAGCGCTCATCTCGCATTATTGGCCGAGGGAGCACCGGCGTATAGCTTCCGGGTCATATGGCCAGCATGACTAAACCACTTCTGGCAAACCCGAGCAGCGCACGGAAACACTGTTTTACCTTCCCGCCGGAGCGGTACTTATTTATCTACTTGCACTTTGATGTGCTTTTGAACTGCTAGGTTGGCAGGAGCAGGGACTGAGCAACGGGAGCTCATCCCGTTGTGGGGATTCGAACCGCCGACCTTCTGATCGGCAAGTCCTAGGTTCTGTGGTTTAACCCACAGCACCACCCTCATCCTGCTCTGCAGGTAAATGCACTTTAATGCCATTCCTTTGCCCTTGTCTACCTATATATAGTGTAGTGCTGGTGATCAACAAAAGCGGTTTAAAGGCTCTCTCAGGGCAAATCTTAAAAAATGTAGTATAAACACCGACAACTGGGAAACACTGGCCTGCGAGAGCTCGAGTTGGAGAACAAAGGTGTCATGGGCTTTGAAGACGCTCGAACACAGGACAAAAGGGAGAAACGTGCTAAGAGGAAGGCATGCTTGGCAAACCATCACCATCATCAACTCTCACCTGAAAACCTATATCCCCACTGTGGAAGGACATGTGGATCCAGAATTGGCCTCCACAGTCACTTACGGACTCACTGTTAAGGCCGTGTTCATGGAAGAAAATCTTACTTGGCTACGAGTGATTGCCAAAGAAGAAAACATATAGAATTCAGAGATGCTCCCTTTATAATCAACAATATTAAGGAAATGGTAATTTGAGGTCATGCCCCAGAGGCCACATGGGGATGTTTGATCAGGGGAAGGTCTGAGATTGCGATAACTATGGAGCCATGCTGTAGATTTAAAGCCAGCCCTTATTCCTGTCTATATTATTCATGAACCTAAATGCTTTACAGTTCCGAGTTAACACTGATGAATATGTAGTTGTATATGTCATTTGCACTGCCTTCTTATTTGCTAGCCAAGCTGCCTCGTTTAAGCCCCCAGGCAGGTGGGCATGACACAGTATGGGAACTTGGAATAGATAGTGTCCTTCAGGAGCTTATCAGATGACTGTCTGTCAGCATCCCATTGTTCACCACCAAGTGCCAAGCTGTACAAAGCAGGCCTAGAGAAAGGAAAACATTTTGCAGATCACAAACCAGCATGCATGTGTACACACCCCTTGTTAAGCTGTGTGTTCTGGTTTGATCAATTATTTGAAAATAATAAATGGACATTTTCCCAGGACTTTCTCTAGCTTGACCATAAAGTGACTGTTCTTGCATGAGGGAAATTTTAAAAGGAGACACCAGTGTTAATCAGCTTTGCAAGAAATTTAATTCCATCACACATGGCCTGAATCAAGATAGCAGTTTGTTTTTTTATCCACTGGCAGGTGTTAATTAACTTATGAAAGGGTGTTTGTGTTATTACGGCTCAGGACTTTAAGGACCGCCTCTTTCCTTATGAACCTACCCAAAGCCTGAGATCATCTTCTGAGTCCCTTCTTTGTGTGCCTCCTCCACAAGAGGTCTGGAGGATGGCGACATGAGAACAGGGCCTTCTCTGCAGTGGCTCCCCGTCTGTGTAATGCTCTCCCCAGGGAGGTTCGCCTGGCACCTTCATTATACACCTTTAGGCACCAGGCAAAAACGTTCCCCTTTAAGCAGGCCTTTGGTTGATTTGACTGACACCCTATGCCTTTATAAAATGTATTCTTTGTAGGGGTGGGCGCTATTGGGTTGTTGTTATTTTGATTATGTACTTTGTTTTATATTCTGATTTTGTCCTGTGAACCACCCTGAGACCTGTGGGTATAGGGAGGTATGTAAATTCAATTAATAATAATAATAAATAATACTGCTTTGTGAATAAACACTGCGCTTGCTTTACGTACATTTAGGGTTGTATTCCACTTTTACTCAGAGCATGCCCTTTAAAATTAATTGATGTAAGTTGGTCATGGCTAATAATTTCATTAGGTCTGGTCTGAGTTAGCTGAATAGAAACCTTAAGCTTTAACATAATTGTTACAGGGTTGGATTCAAATATGTTGAAGTCGGTGTAATGAGTCCCATTAGCGCAAAAGAACTGCCCCCTCTCCTTCCCCACTTCTGCCCCCACTCTCCTCAAATCTGCTTGGGAGAACCCCCTGCCCTGCCCCAAACAGCAAGCATGGGGATATCATTCTGTCCAGCAAGCAAAAATGCTTGCACTGATGGAACAATCTGCTAAGGCGACAATGAATTCCACCTGCAGCCTGTATTTTCTGCATTCCATTTCCCTCTGACTTCATGGTTTACATTTCTCTCTCTTTAATACGATGTGTGTATATATACCTGCCAGCTTAGAATGAAAAAATCATGAATCTGATGAAGTAAACTCTAGCCTCCACAAAAACATTGGGCTATAATAAATGTGTTCCTCAGGAAGGTGCCATGAGACTGTTTGTTTTTGCTGCACATACTAATATCATTATTATTTATTAAATCTACAGCTACATACTCCAGAAATCACCTAAATAATGTGATGAAGTAGAGGGTAAAAATCGAGACCTGCAACGACTGCCAAATCTGTACTGAGTTTGAAACTGTTTTTATGTAATGTTTGAACCGTTGATGTGGTTCTCATGCTTTCATTGCTGATTGGTGTGGGATGTTTCACAGGAACCAATTCATAAATGACTTGGGGGAACTTTTAGCCCCTCACTGGCGAGAGCCAGTGTGGTGTAGTGGTTAAGAGCGGTAGACTCGTAATCTGGTGAACCGGGTTTGCATCTCCGCTCCTCCACATGCAGCTGCTGGGTGACCTTGGGCCAGTCACACTTCTCTGAAGTCTCTCAGCCCCACTCACCTCACAGAGTGTTTGTTGTGGGGGAGGAAGGGAAAGGAGATTGTAAGCCGCTTTGAGACTCCTTCGGGTCTCCAAACTCTTCTTCTCTTCTTCTGTTTGGGGTGTGTGTTGCCCCAAATTCCTTTGGGTCTCTTTTCTAAATATTCTTTTAAAAGGTAAAGGTACCCCTGAATGTTAGGTCCAGCCACGGACGACTCTGGGGTTGCGGTGCTCATCTCACTTTACTGGCTGAAGGAGCCAACGTTTGTCCGCAGTTTTTCCGGGTCATGTGGCCAGCATGACTAAGCCGCTTCTGGCAAAACCAGAGCAGTGCACGGAAACACCATTTACCTTCCCGCTAGAGTGGTACCTATTTATCTACTTGCACTTTGACATGTTTTTCAACTGCTAGGTTGGCAAGAGCTGGGACCGAGCAACGGGAGCTCACCCCGTCGCGGGGATTCGAACCGCTGACCTTCTGACTGGCAAGCCCTACTTCTCTGCTGTGTGTGGATGTTGCCTTTTGGGCTCTGTGAGAATTGGCACTCAGACAACGGAGTGTGCTATTAGTAGAGAACGGTGAGGCAGACACAGTGTTTAAAATAGCTGGTGCACAGAAGCTCCTTAATTTCCACACACCCCTCAACACTCCAGCTTTCATTTCCCCCTCTAATTGTATGGCTATCGGGGAAAAATAAATACATTTCTGCAAAGTAGGTTTATGATGCCATTTCGAGCCCAGCCAATTAGCACCCTGAGTTACTAATGCCGCTAATTCTTTTTTTATTCATTTCGGAGCAGGAGGGGAAGAGAAGCATGTCGGAATTATTGCTAGGCACAAAGGGCAAGTATCACTTGAAGCAAGGTTTTTCTCCTCCTCCTGAAGTGCTGCCCTTCTTATCCAACGAGCTGTACAGAGAACATTGTAGTTAAGAAGGACAATCCATTTTCAAAATCCACTTTATATTGCGAGATCTCTCCAAGTCTCCTCATGCAGATGATACCGTATAGTCTTAGCACGTGGCTGCAAGTATCCACTGATACCTCTCTCCACTGCAAAATATACTGGGCCTGTAACACCCAAACTGTCATGACCAGCGATTTATGGCGAAATCTTTCGCAGGGGAACAGTTAGGGCCAGAGGTGCCATCTTGTGAGAGTGATTTTTTTTTGGGGGGGGGGGTCTTCCCCAAGCAGCCACAGCAGCAACAGGAGGAGAAGCCAGCCACAGAAGCCATGGCTCCATGCTCGATCTCCTCTGCCCCCTGAATGTGGCCTGTTGCAGTTGTGGAAAGGCCCGCCACAGGCCACAGAATATTGAGGGGGGCTGGCCCTCTTCTTGAAAAAAAAAATAGGGGGGCTTGGCTCCGGCCTCCCTGCCCCAGATGGTGCCTCTGAAACAATGGGTTTAGACTATACACAGTTTTTTATTTAGGTGCAATCCCGGGAACATAAGCCTTGGGGGCTTACTGTATAGCTATTAGTTTTCTGGGCCAAATCCAGTTTGCATCCAAGGTTTGCAAGGTACGGTCTCTTAACATTCTGGATTGTGACATTGTGCTGATACTGCTGTTAGCATCTTAACCCTTTATTTACTGGCTCCTCAGGTCTGCTTTCTCTTCAGTTATGGCTTGAAAGGTGACCAGATTGCACCCTTATTGCCTTAA